AATAATACTGCCTATTATTAAAATAGTTTCGTCTATATACAGGGCGGCTTAGTATTAGAAATTCACTAAAGTTACCTTTTTTTTAATGGAACCCCCTGTATATTATAACATTTTTGAATTCTTTAGTGAATTTTAGTGTGACTTTATGTACCATACATTGTACCTAAAACCAATCGTTTAGTGGCAATTCGACATTTTCGAAAAAAGTGGAGGTTTGAAAAAAAATGAATATTGCCGCTCTTGTAAAACTTAGAAGGCCGTGACTCTGGGTTATTAGTAAACATGAAATGTACTACTGTGTGACAGGGATTCAGAATTGAATACTGTTTGTGTTCTTAGATATCGATACGCCAATTTACAAAATTTCAAATAATGGTAACTTGATTTTTTTAAATGAAACTACCTACTTTTTAGTATACCATCTTGTAGGAAATTTTATTGCCTTTCTAACGATATAACATTGTCAATATTTTTACCTGCTAGTTTTCTCTTAATTCCGGAATTTCTTATAATTCGCGGTAATTTTTAATTTTCAGTACTGTTCAAAGTGGCTCAATATTGTAAATTAAATTAAAATAAAACACAAATTTTATAAAAGATTGTGAGTTATAAAAAAAGTATACAGATCAATCAATCAATTACAATTTATTTGATTGTAGGGAGATAATGATAATGAACAAGGAATAATGTAAAGAACAGTTTTTTTGATAGCACAATTTTTCTTACAGTAGATGCTCAAAGATCAAAGAAAAAATCAATTGGTGTCAAATCGCGAGAACGGGCAGGGCATATTTTATTTTAATTTACAATATTGAGCCACTTTGAACAGTACTATTGAAAATTGAAAATTACCGCGAATTATAAGAAATTCCGGAATTAAGAGAAAACTAGCAGGTAAAAATATTGACAATGTTATATCGTTAGAAAGGCAATAAAATTTCCTACAAGATGGTATACTAAAAAGTAGGTAGTTTTATTTAAAAAAATCAAGTTACCTTTAATTGAAATTTTGTAAATTGGCGTATCGATATCTAAGAACACAAACAGTATTCAATTCTGAATCCCTGTCACACAGTAGTACATTTCATGTTTACTAATAACCCAGAGTCACGGCCTTCTAAGTTTTACAAGAGCGGCAATATTCATTTTTTTTCAAACCTCCACTTTTTTCGAAAATGTCGAATTGCCACTAAACGATTGGTTTTAGGTACAATGTATGGTACATAAAGTCACACTAAAATTCACTAAAGAATTCAAAAATGTTATAATATACAGGGGGTTCCATTAAAAAAAAGGTAACTTTAGTGAATTTCTAATACTAAGCCGCCCTGTATATAGACGAAACTATTTTAATAATAGGCAGTATTATTGTACCTACCTTTTGAAACAAAAATCAAGTCGATATCTCAATTAGGTAAAAAGTTATGGGACTTTAACGCGACCCTGGGTCACCCTGTATCTCTCTTAACTGTAAGGATGATGGCCACTACAGGTCCGCGATGTAGTCTTCGCTGTAGATGGTTGGTTCTCCTTGCGAAATTGGACGATTTTGTTCCAATCCCCGATGTATCACTGATTGAATTGCTCTGGTACTCAAGATAGGGTTCCCGATTTTTGTGGAGCCACCCAGGTACAACACTTAACAACGATACAACACGTATACGGTTCGATATCCAGTCAATCGTTTCGACGAAAAAATCCGCGTTCGATACGTGAATTCCCGGATATCCTACTGACTGCGCCAGAAATAACTCCGTTACTTCAAAAATAGTTTTTAAAAAAATTTTTATTCACTACAAAACTGAAAGTTACAATTTATAATTTTTACGATTTAAACTACTCGAAATCTAATCATGAACTAACTGGAAAAAATACAATGTTAGAATTAGCAAAACAAGTGTTCTCACAGCGTTAACAAGAATTTGGAAATACGATCTGCTGATACTGCTTGGGAACGGTGGATCTCCTGGTAGAACATGCTGATTGTACTTGGGAACAGAGAATTTCCTGATATAACAGGCGGACTCTCGTCCGCCATCATGATGTTATTTGTTTTAAAATTTATATCAGTACATTTATATTTCTATTCAACAATATATTTATAACAAATTTATACCTGGATTACTGGTAGGATAAGGAAGCACACAGGTAAGTTGTTAGTACGCCCTTTTGTTATTTAAACAAATTGTTCAGCACCAACACGTGTTCACCTTAACGAAACCAAAATCGTTCTCCAAATGAGACAACTTGCCATTCTTGTCATCTATGACATTCTAATGTCATATACGTCATGTCATTCATGTCCATTTCTGTATTCTGTTGGCAACAATGACTATAACAATTAATTTTTGCATGAATTGAATTCCCTCAATTGTACTAAATTTTCCTAGTAAAATTCAAAAAGTGGCATGTGTGAGGTGCACATATGTCTTATATTCACATATATGTCTTATTTCATGCTCTTAGAGCTCAAGTCTACCGCCTGATCGTATGCAAAACCTGCTTTCCCATAAATATCATTTTGCTATCCCCTAGCGGCAATTCGGTGAAGGAAGTTTTTTCCAAAATCCAGACTTTTCGAAAAGGATATCTCAAAAAATATAAAGAATATCGTTTCCAAATTTTTACAATATGCTTCTATTACCTGTAGCTAGGTAATGAAGGAATTTCGTATTCGTGCGACAGAAAAAAAAACTGAAAAATGTCTACCTTCAAACGCTTATATTTTCGTTATTTTTGCATAGATCTTCAAAAAAATCCTTTATGACCGAGAGGAAAGTTCACTCTATCAGATCCCAGATAACACGTAAGCTTGTGACAAGGTTGTCATGTACTTGTCATGTCCTTGTCATGACAAGCTTTGCAAGACAAGCTTATAAAAAGGTTAGAGTAAGATTGTTTTGACAACCTTATACAATTGTCATAGCATTGTCGGAATAAGGTTTTCGTGACAGGCTTTTAATAATATTATTGCAAGGTTGTTCTGACAATTTTATAAAATTGTCATTTTCTCATCGTGACAAGCTTTACATGAGAAGCTTTTAATAATGTTATTGCAAGGTTATTGCTTAATATAGGCTTGCGGTTACCACGTTTTTATAAGTTTATAAGGTTTATAAGGTTTTATAAAGGTTTATAGCTAATTTTGCAATATGCAAAAATCATGGAAAAAAGTTAAACTAATAAGCTTGTGGAAAGATTACACTACACAACATACATCTATGAAAAGGCATACATTTGGAGTACCTACATACTACAAAAAGTGAAAAATATTTTTTTAAATTATTTTAAGACATTTTGTATTCAATCCGATAATTTCCTATCAAGTTTTATTTTGTCTAATCGCTACTCGATGTAAAGGGTAGGGGGTTGGTTGGGTTGGGTTTCTAATTTTTGTGCCTTCGGTACTCGACTTTCTCTACTAGCATTGCTGACGCTATTGCCTTTTGTAAATGTTCGCTCTTAAAATTTGCTGCTGTTATTTTCCAACGTGTTTTTTTTACCTACCTTCATTTTTCAAAGGTAAGTCAAATATTTATTATTTCTTTGTATTTCGATATCATCTATGCCTTATGTAATTATTAATAGAATGTTTATTAATAGGTATCACTTGAAAACCGTTCAATAAAATGTCCCAAAAGACCGATGCATTAGACAGGATTCCATAAGGATATAAATGAAAATATTGAATGATGAACAGAATAATTCCAGACGAAAAGTTATCATTAATTCATTCGATTAAATTCATGATGAAGAATCAAATTAGATGAATGTTTAGCCAAACAACTTCGCTCGACTCGTCTATTTTTAAGACTTGCAATTTACAAATAAACTGTTAGGTTTTTTTACAATTATTTTACTCAACTATTTATTACAGCTTTTCGAACACTTTAAAAATTCACAATGCCCTCATAAATTCTAAAGAATAGCGGAGTACCAAGAAATACTGAAAACACATGGTCACACTTGATGGGTTCGCCCGGGTTTGCCTGACAATTCACAAATTCACAGATGTTTGTTGGGATTATGAAAGGACATTTTAGTATTTTTTCAATTTCATTTTTAAACAAATGGACTATAATAGTGAGTATATTAATTTTTTCAATTATTATAGGCACATTAATTTTTTTTCTTTTACAGGGAGGCCCATCAAAAAATATGTTTGGTATGGCTGTTCATCCATATCTGGGACACAGTGATTATATTTGTATACATATTTTATTAAAATAAATGTCAATTATATAATATTTGCATTTTTTCATATATTTTATACCTTTCCATAAGCTTGTCGTAATGTTTTCAGAAGCTTGCCATAAACATTTTTCAAAAACCTTGAAAAAAGCTTGTCGTAGCGTTTCTATAACATTGTTATAACCTTTTCACAAGCTTGTCATAACCTTTTCATAATCTTGCCTTAATAAGCTTTTAGTAATAATATTTATACAACCTTTTCATAAGCTTGTCGCTACCTTTTAATAGGGCTGTGGCAAGGTTTTCATAAGCTTTACGCAACGTTTTCAAAAGCTTGCCATAACCTTTTCGTAGTAACCTTGTCATAACAACCTTAAAGCAAGCCTCTAACATGTTGACTAGGAAGGTTGTCAAAACCTTTTTATAACCTTACACCCTGGGTTGCAACAAGGGTACAAACCGTGTCGTGACAAGGTTAACGCAAGCTTGCTACAAGCTTAAAATGTTATCTGGGATGCGATTCATAATATGTCTCAAAATTGATATATCCTTTTCATAAAATCATGCTTATTTTCATTGCTGCCAAGTGAAATTAGGTTACCAAATCTCAACGCCCCTCTTAACCTTTGTAATTACCTATTCCTACCCTTGAAGGGCATGAAGCAGGTCTTCAGACGTACCTCACGATACACTCTTCAAGCAACCAGTAATAACAAAACACAGAACCTGGCTGTATGTCATTACACAGGAGGCCAAAGGAGAAGAAGAAGAAGAAGACATAAACATAACCCTACTTTTTTGACACTTATCTGACTTATCGCCGGATAAGTCCAACTTGTTGATTCAGTTCGGGAGTATTGATTTTTCCCGAAACTAAAAAGAAATGCGCAATCTACGGAAAACCCTCCGTAAGAGCTTATCGCAATATGGTGTGACATGAAATTGTGAAATAATTCAGAAAAGAAAAATGGAAGATTTATTGTTAAATATCGCCAAGGAAGCGGGCAATTCGAAACTGACCGATCTGAAACAACGCGCCCAAGAAGCCTACGGTAAATACTTAAATAATCTCTAATTCTTTTTCTTTACAAATAAATTAATTCAAATCTTTTAAGATCTATTGAGCGCACAGAACAATTTGATGAGAAGCCCCTCGCATGAACTCCGTTCGATCTGCTTCCGACCCCTCAAACTCTCGTTGGAAAGCAAAAAGAGCAAACTGGTCGCTCTATCTCTAACAGGCTTCAACGTAAGCACTCTTATTTCTAATAATTAACGTAACGTACCATATCAATTTGTTTAAAATGTTTAAATACAGAAAATAATCCGCGACGAACGGTTCCAATGCGGCTCCGAGCCCGAAGATGATTCTCTATGGCTGCCGGCGCAAATTCTCCAGGCCACTTCTTCGTTACCCTCCCAATGCGAAGACACCCAAGTGCACGTGCTCAGGGTGATATTGAATTTGGCCTGCTCGGCCAGTTGGGCGTTAAACGGTCGATTGGTCATGTTAATTTTGGGCAGATGCGGTGAGGCTTACGAGACGGGTACCCAACCGATTAGGGCGGCTTCACAAGCGGCCGCCAGTCAAACGTTAACGGCTTTTTGTACTTTCTTAGGTAAATTATATGTATAAGAAACTTAGTTAGAATCAAGTTAGATAAATGACTTAACCTACTTTTACCCGGGTAAACTGTGAAGTACCCAAGAAACACGAGTAGGGTAGGGTAGAGAAGTTTTCTCGGGTATCTTTAGTTTCTCCCGTTATTCCGCGAGAAACTTACCCTACCCTAACCTACCCGTAATTGCAGTTTACCCTCGAACACCTCTAACTTTATCCGTAACATTTACTCGTGAGATGTTTGTATTATTTTTGTTTTCTTTTTGTAGACGAAGAGTGCCAGGAGATTTTGCAGCAACAGCAAAAACACAAAAATTCAGGAAGTAGCGCCGAAATGGTTTATACTAAAACATCGGCGGTGGCTTGTTTTAACGAGGCCATACCGGTTATGCAGTACATCTGCAGTAAATTAGAGGAATCCAAACAGTACGTGTAATATAGATAATACAGGGTGTCCCAATGAAAAGTAGCCTCTTTAGTGAGCTAATATAACTTCTTGTTGCAATGAGACAAAAATTTTGTATCACCTATACAGGATGTTTCATAAAAACCCCTCTTTTTTAAATTCACAATAACTAAATTTTATGAAATAGGACGTCTTCTTTTGTAGAATAACATCTACAAATAATATATTTTTGAAAAATAGAAGAGTGTATCTTTTAAAATACCTCTGTATATACGGGATGTTCCATTTAAATTAATTTGGTTATTGTGAATTTAAAAGAGGAGGTTGTGATAAAACTCCTTGTATTGTTAATGCATAATTTCTGTATCACTGTAACAAAACTTATAATAAAATAAAACATATTTGAGAAAACCGCATGTTTTTATGATTAGGCGTAAAAAATTTTAAGCTCATTAAAGGGGATACTTTTTATTGGGACACCCTGTATAATATTTGCTTTATATACGAGGTGAGATGAAACGTTCTCGGTCTTACGATGAAATAATTAAGATTAATTAATTAATTAATTAATTAACCGTGAAAGATAATGGAAAAACTCCTGAAATTATGTAGAAAAATAACATCATAATTAATTAATTAATTAATGAGAGTCTAGAAGGCTGCTAAACGATTCCCACACAATTTTCATTATTCCTTCATTCATTCATTTCCTCATTCATTTATTAATTCATTCATTCACTGACTGATTGGCGTGTTTTTTTTTCATTTTTACGGCTTTATTTAAAGAAACAAAACTCGGAAAAAATGCCATTCCACGTAATTTGAAGATATCTATCGGAAAATCGACGTTTCGAAACCCGGAAAAGTTTCCTACGGCAAGTTATAGCAATTTTTAGAGAAGTTGTAGGAAAGTTTTTCTAGCATTTTTATGACTTCAAATAAAGCCTCTCAACATCTTTCGTTCGGACCGCTAGTACTTTTCACTTCACCCACGTACATTACTATTTTTATTCGAGGAAACGACGGGGTGGGCGGCATCTATCCGTCGTTATTTTAATCTAAAACTGGGGGAAAACAATAAATTTTCCGTTCTCTTATGTAGTTAGAAATAAACAAATTTCTCTGATTCCTTGCGATATTGAGGGGAAAAATTTTTTCAAGTAAATATTACAATAAATAGTATTTATTACAATATTACATTTTTTATCATGATTAGTAAGTCAAAAAAGGTTTCTTCAGTGCCTATGTCTAGTAACTAATAACTATTTCCGATAACGTTTCCAAAACAGTGTCATACAAAATATCAATTACTGTAGTGTAAACGATTTGAAAATGTTCTATGTCCTTTTTTTTAATTGCCAGTTGTCCACAGCTCTAGTTTATTCTACCGAATAAACCTCATCACCTTTTCTTTTTTTTTCTTCTTTTACTTACACTTGTTTAACTTCTGTGCCACTTCCTAATGCATCCAGTTCCTTATTTCTAAAATGAAAATTCTTCATTTCGTAGAGAATTTATTCAAATAAACCAGCTCAATGATACACATATAATAAAGCAGCAACAACTTGTTTACAATATTCAGATTGCTCAACTTCGCAACTACAAACATAGATCTGTTTATCTGTAGATGTTTATGGATATCCTAAGCTTAAGAGTAGAACATTTGAATGTCGAAATCTACAGGCGAAGAGCAAATATTTTTCTAATATTCAAATCTTTAACCTGACACAAGATGATATGATCGGCTCAAAAAACTGCTTTATTTTACAATATGGGTCTACTCTTTCCATCCAGATAAGATAAAATATCTGCCAAAAGAACTACTACAACAAGCATTTAAAAAAATACGATAAATCACAAGTAATAGACGGATAAATTGAATTTATTTCACCACACTAATAAACGCGATTTCCAATGTTTTCCCCCCAGTTTGATTTGACAGTTGTCAAATTAAGACGCCACCTGGTGGATATGAACACCTCGAATTACTATAAATGTATTTATTTTTCAGGCAATCGAAAACCAACGATTTGACGATTTTCCTGTTACAATGTCTCTTAACATTCGTCAGTACTTTACCGCATACGGTCCATTCGAATGTTCATTTTACGACATTCCTGTGGCAACGTTTCTGTCCGGCTCTACTCGCTTTTTTGGGTCTACCGGGAGACCCGTCGGGCCATTCCATTTCCTCGTCGCAAGCCAAAATAGTCTACAGGTAATAATAGACTCGATCCGATTCTCGATAGAGAAATATCATCTGATACTAATCAATATTTTGCAGCATCGGTATACAAGTAGTGAGACTGGTAGGCAGAGAAAGGGCTTTGAGACCGGTTTTAGAGGCCCTATTTCACAGGATGCTCCTTCTGCCGAGTCCACCGAAGCGATTAGAACCGCTCAGAGCGGCCAAAGAGCTGCTCAGATCGCCCGGTAGACTGGCCGATTTGCTTCTACTGAGCGGACCGATACATCGGCACGCCGGCGACGATATGGCGATAATAAGACTGTAAGTTTACTACTAACGAAACACTCTACTATTCTAAATACTCTAGAAAACCTCTTTATACTCCAATCGAATAACTCTAATTCTCTATCGAAACTTTCTCATATATTCTCTAACGGATCACTCGAATAATCCTATACTCTAAAAACTGTAATACTGCAACAACAGCTTCTAATATTCCGTGTAAAACGCTCTAATCAGTGATGTTAAAATTACTTTATAATATGTAATTAATTATAATTACTTTTGGCAAATTGTAATTAATTGCAATTACAATTACAAAAATTGCGAATGTAATTACAATTACAATTAAAGTTACAATTACAATTACAATAACAATCACAATTACTTTGCTTTGGTGTCATTTTAAATAATTATTTAGGTACATATTCCTAAAAACCTCATTAACCTTTTCATGGAAACAAGGTATTAATAGAATATACAGGGTATACCACAGTCGATGGCAGGTTAGGCGTTTAGAGAAAACGGAACGTACGATTGTCGTGAAAATTTGGTTATTTAGGTAATTGGTCCTGCTCTATTGATTTAAATTATTTTCAACGCTGCGGCGTTGCCACTTCTATCGAAAAGTAGCAGCATCCTTGTTATTTTAAATGAGACACCCTGTATATTTTTACATTTTTTGCTCCGCTACTGCTTTCCGATTATTTTTGTATAATACTTCCCTATACCTATCTTTAGCGCTTTTCGAGAAATTCTTTATTTTATTTAATTTTTTATTAAAAACATAGCTCTATTTAAATGTTGATTACTGCGGTAATTAGATAAGGAGAAAGCTGAAATTTTGGGATTAGCTTAGATATGCATTAGGTATTAGTTCGCTATAATCGATTTTTTATTTATTTATACAGGGTTGTTCAAAAATTGTCATTTTATCGCTAGATATACAAATGCTAATAAGTTCATTTTTTTTAAATGGGACACCCGGTATATTTTTAAATATTCAAAAAGATAATTAAATTCTCTTTCAAATGGTAAATCATGTTCCTATACCCAAATAATCAGGTTTCCGAAATAAAAGCAAATTTCTATAAAAATCTGATTAATTTGGGAATTTGTATTAGGTAGCTGTGAAATCATGAAATGTCATCAAATTTGACATTTAATGGACATTTAATGGAAGGAAATAATTATTCAAATAAAGTTCCTATGAATTTATTTATGGACAATGTGACAAAATGTGACAAAATGAGCAGGACCAATTACCTAAATAACCAAATTTTCACAACAATCGTACGCTCCGTTTTCCCTCTATGCCTAACCTGCCATCGACCGTGGTATACCCTGTATAATTCTTGTAGAATATGCTTTAAACTTTAATCCAAGCAGGTATATACCCCGACTGCCTGGCTAGGGATTTGCAATCGGAATTAAACTTTCCACGTATGGAAAATATTAAATAAGTACTTTTTTGTCCAATGTAATTGAAATGTAATTGTAAAATGTAATTGTAATTGTAACGAAAGGAGTAATTGAATTACAAATGAGTTACAATTGAGGATCTTATAATTAATTACCGCCTCAATTACAATAAAAGTAATTCAATTACTTTTTCAATTACTTTTAATTAATTACTTAACAACACTGGCTCTAATACTCTAAATGCTCGCCAACAATGGTTTTTAAATGGTAAAAAATAGTTGGTAAATGGTTTTTGTTCTCCAGGTTGCAGAAAACTAAAACAAAACACAATGGCCCGTATTCAGCGCCTCATTTTAACTTTAGAGTCACTCTAAAGTCGCGTCTTTAATTTGACAGTTTTACATTGTTGTTATGGAGTAACAAGGGACTAGAGACGCGACTTTAGAGTCACGGTAAAGTTAAAGTGAGGCGCTGAATACGGGCCAATAACCCTTACTATACGTTTAATGAAGAACCGTCTTAACATTCCTCGTATTTAATTGTAGTATAATGGACTCGATCGAGGAATCCTCCCAATGCGCCGATACGGGCGTCCTATTGGCCAGCCTCGAATGCGTCGTAGCCCTCTTAGGTTCGCTCGAAGCCCTATGCAAAGGCGAAGGATTGAATCAAGAGGGCGCCGACTTGACCAACGTTCGATACGCCGCGTTAGAGCAGGCCGATTATTCGGGTCCTCTTACGTACGAATCGATGGCTCGTTTGCCGAAACCCTATCGAGACGCCGTGGCGAATTTGACGTATCGAACGAGCGATTCGGACAGCAGCGGCATCGACGGTAATTCGAAGGGTAACGAATCGGATTGTTCGGGCGCGACGGAGGGACCCGAGGATACTCTGGCGACGTTGTCGGATTGCGACGACGATAGTGTCATGGACGATGAGAGTTTTTTGACGAATCAACAGTTGCAGAAGTTGTACAAGTTGCCTAAATCGTTGAATTTGGTAAGAGATAATGAGAGAGAAGAACGTTCGGATTTTTCGGTCAAAAATTGATAAATTATAATACGGGGGTAACCTTAGGGTAGGGTAGGACAGAAGAAAAGTAATAATTTATCAGTTACCTTTAGAAAGTAGGTTAGGATAGAAGAAAATACAGATCATTTGATAAGTCTCTAGCCTAAATATGAAAACACAGTTATTTTTGTTTAAGTTTTGATTTTTTATTCAGTATAATCTCCTAACAGTTCAATACACTTAGACCAGCGCTGTTCCAATAATTATATCACATGATTAAAGTGAGATTCCGGAAGGTCTGCAAAATATGCCTCTACGACAGCTATCGCTTTTTCATTCGATGAAAAACGCTTTCCACGAAGAAACTGTTTCAGGTTTCGGAACAGGTAGTAGTCGCTGGGAGCCAAATCTGGTGAATATGGTGGATGGTCAAGCAATTCGTACTTTAATTCCTTGAATTTAGCCATTGTGAAAACATTTGTGTGAGAACGTGCGTTATCTTGATGAAAAAAGATCTTTTTCTTATTTAAGGCAAGAAACTTTTCAAGTGACCTATACATAATTATACATCAAATTCCTTTAGGTAGAAAGTAAAGTAGGGTAGGATAGGGCATAAGAAAAGTAATAATTTATTAGTTACCTTTAGAAAGTAGGGTAGGGCATAAGGAAATAAATAATTTATCAGTTGCCTTTAGAAAGTAGGGTGGGGTAGAAGAAAATCCATAATTATTCATCAATTTCCTTTAGGTAGAAAGTAGGGTAGGGTAGAGCATAAGAAAAGTAATAATTCATCAGTTAACTTTAGAAAGTAGGGAAAAGTAGAGTAGAGAAAATTAGTAATTATTCATCAATTAACTTTAGATCGAAAATAGGATAGGGTAGGACAGAAGAAAAGTAATAATTCATCAATAACCTTTAGAAAGTAGGGCACAGAGTAGGGTAGAAGAAAATGCGTTTTTTCCATCTTACCTAAATTGACGACAACACCTTATTTTTTGTTTATTCGCGTAGGGTAGAACAGGTTTGGACGAGTGTAATACGGATTTGGAGCGGCACAACGCCCGGCATTTCGTGAAAACGCTCCAACAAGCGGTGTTGCCGGATTTACTATCTCTCCGATCGTCCATTCAAGTCGACGAATTGCTGCAGGAATTCGCATCGAAATGTTGCAGGAGCAATTCCTCGTCGTCGTCGTCGTCGAGGAATGGCGAAACTTCGACTACTACTATCATGAACGCCGATGGAATTTACCTAGCCACCTATTCGGCTTTGTTGCTCGATTTGAAATTGATAAGAAGCGGTCACTACGAAGACAAAAACGTACGTAGAATTTATTTTTTTTATTTAAAGTCGTTTCCTATACTTCGTTTGACGTTAAATAACATTTCAAGTATTGAAAATTATTTGAAAATTTGAAAAAAAAAATATTTTTTCGGCTGGATTCGAACCCGAAACGTAAAGATTGCGCACAAAGGCATATACAGACTTTGCTATTACAAATAAACATTTAAACAACGTCCTTAGTTACTCCATAACAACCAATGTAAAACTGTCAATTGTCAAGACGGGCCAATGTATCTAAACAAGTTCCGATGCCACAGCTAACTGTGATCGCCTCTATAGGATTTTACTACAACTATTATGTACATTTTTACTGGTCGATTGAAATGAAACGAAATAAAATAAAAATGTTGTTAGGTGCTCGTACCGATAACGGAGGCGCAATTCGTCGAAGAGATCCACGGTAGCGGCGTGTTGGTTTACGTATCGGCCACATGGTTGTGCGAACTCTATCAAAACGTTATCGCCAAATCTCTACTTTTAACAGCCGGTTACGATCCGAAGGGTAACCACCAACCGGCCCTGGTCAACCTTTTGATCGGTAATTTGTTTTGATCATTACGAGAGTCGGTCTACCGCCGACTCAATATATGGACGCGCAGTTTCGAAGGAGGGTAGGGTATATTCGTTAAAAGTCGATTCCTAAAGAGACAATACTCGAAATCGACCCATGGAAAATACCCTTCCGAATCGTAAACTGTGCTCCGATTCAAGTCTGCGCAATTTACGCCCTGTAAAATATATTTTTCGTTGCAGACATAGGAGGCTTGTGCCCCACGCAACTGCTCACCGACTGGCAAAAATTGCAAAAACTCCACGTGACGTCATCGTCGTCGTCATATTCGGAGGGGGGTAGCAATAGCCAGGAGACGGAAGCGGGCGTGAAATTATCCAGAAGGGTGTTGACCTGTTGTTGGGCATCGGTGGTGTCCGTGTTGGGTTTGCCATTGGGCGATGGTACCGTTTTTCACAACAACAACAACAACAACTACAACGGCGGTGCGACGACATCGGCCCTCGCCAGATTGGTGGGTCGTAGGGCTCGGCAAAAGTACAAACAAAAAATGCGAGATGACGTCATCACGACGAGTTTGGAAGGGTTACATAAGGTGAGTCGCGATCGTATACGCATATCGTTTGTTTGATATACAGGGTGTTCCTAAACATCGTGTACATCCGAAAGGGGGTGATTCCTTGGCTTATTTTATGACTAAAAGTTCATATAAACGTGGGTCCCCAAACGCTTCGTTACCGATCTACAGGGTGTTGAAATTTCAATTTTTTTTTGGTTTTTCTTTGTAGCTCCTGCACTTTTTGAGATATTTAGCTCAAATTTTGAATGTAGATTGCTTTATAGGCACACATTATTGGGTATATCAGGTGGTTGTTGAATTCTACAGGGTGATATTTTTTCAGGGGTCATATACCCTTTTTTCCCCCGAACTTTTTTGCTGTGCGCCGCTGGTAGATTCTAAATTACAAAATGAATTTTCTGTTTTGTCTAGAAACTTCTTTTATTTTTAAACTTTTTGTTTCTGTGACCGTTATCGAGAAAAAAATTAAAAATGAATTTCTGTACAAATGATTTATTTTACAAAACAAAAACCCTAAATAATAATTATTAAATTACATTATAATAAATGTTGAAAGTGGCCCCCTCCTACTCAAATTACACTCTATACCCTATATCCCTATATCCTTTTTTTATATATATTATTTTAGGCGGCAAGTTTGAGTAATACATTGAAACTTCAAACGAGAAGTAGTAGCATTTTATCGTTACTCTCCGCATCAGCTTGTAAACAACAAGGTACAAAACTCTTGGCATCTCACGCTCTCTCATTGGACGTTTTACTTTCTAAAGGTAGGTAGATATTCAACTTTGATCTACTCGAACTAAAGGGTGTTTCAATAAGAGCGCAAGTTCAATAAAACAATGTTATCCGTAGTAAAATATAGAAATATTTATAAATTTATCATGTGTACATTTAGGAATTATACAGTGCATTTCTTTAATGTCCCCCCCCCCTTTTATTTTTTGAACGGATCAACTTAGAAAATTGAAATTTGGGATAATGAAACTAATGCATGATTACTATATTTTGGAGTAAAATTGATAGATGAAAATTTCAAGATGGCGACTGGGCGCCATCTTGGAAAATAAATTTAAATGGAAAGGGGGGTCTTGTGATACATCATTTTGAAGCTCCTGACAAATACTCTACAACCCTGAAATATAAAGTCACTATCTGCACCTGCTACAAAATGGCGGAACATTTAATAATTACCTGAATACAAACAAAATAATATCAATTTTTCTAGAAATATTTGTTTTTCTATGGCAAACAGCAATCCCAGCAAACCGATAAGGTTTTACAGGTTATTTTTGGTTAAAAAAATTCCAAAAAATTTAAGTACGACAACGAACATTAATTGTTTAGTGAAAATATGCTCATTTAGTTTTTGGTTTTCCTAGTGTTCAAGATATTCTCTTTAGTTTTCGATTTTCCTAGTGTTCAAAGTATTTTCATTTAGTTTTCGGTTGTTTAGTTCTCATTGCAGTTAGGTAGCACGTCAACTAACTCTAAAATGGCCAATTCTCGTCCATTGGAAGATGGAGCACCACCACATTACTCCAGACAAGTAATGAACTATTTGGATGCTATTTTCCCTGGTTGTTGGATCGTTGGATTGGTCGTCGAGGTCCTACGGAATGGATTTGACCAGAATTTGACCAGATTTGACACCTTTAGACTTTTTTTTATGGGGCTATTTGAAGCAAAATGTGTACGAAACTAAACCTGCTTCAATATTGGATATACGAGAAATAATTACAGATATTTGTAAAAATATCGACGTTACTATGTTCGAAAATGTTCGGATAGGCTGTTCTTGTATCAAGAAGTTCAAGGCAACCATTTCGAGCTTTTTTTGAACTGAACTCAGCTTATTTCCTCAAATTATGACGTTAAACGTCGATTTATTCAGGTAATTATTAAATGTCCGCCATTTTGTAGCAGGTGCAGATATTGACTTTATATTCCAGGGTTGTAGAGTATTTGTCAGGAGCTTCAAAATGATGTATCACAAGACCCCCCTTTCCATTTAAATTTATTTTCCAAGATGGCGTCCAGTCGCCATCTTGAAATTGTCGTCTGTCAATTTTACTCCAAAATATAGTAATCATGCATTAGTTTCATTATCCCAAATTTCAATTTTCTAAGTTGATCCGTTCAAAAAATAAAAGGGGGGGACATTAAAGAAATGCACTGTATGTATATTAAACAAAATATCTTGTAAATTGCCGCCACGGCTTTGTTGGCACAAGCGTACTCTTCTGATAAAATTTTCAATAGTATTCAATAGTATTCAATATTGTATACATGTGGCGGTATTTTATTGATAGAGCGTCTAATTTCGGCTTTCAACGCTTCGGTGGTCGCGGGCATGTTGAAATAAACCTGTGACTATAAGTAACCCCACAGCCGGAAGTCCAAAGGTGCTAAATCACAAAAACGTGGCGGCCAATTCTGGTCACCACTCATTGAAATGACCCGACCGGGAGTAATGTTTAACAATTAGGATGCGATTATGTTCCTTATCCAGATCCATATCCAGATCCAATGCTCCATATTTATTGACTCGGAACTGTCAACTTTCGATATGTCATGTTATAATCATGTGTCATTATGACTGTCAAACATGACAGCCAATTCAAATCTTGCGGTCTTATTGAAACACCCTTTAGTTTAATCGAATAATAATAATAATATTTTTACCGAGCTTAATTGATTTGTAAATAATTCATTTATACTGTTTATAAGGTTTAGAATTGGGCTGTCACAGTTCCGCCTGTTGGCCTCACGTTTTTAACGCGTGCGTTGCCGTTTCGGCCTTGGAACATTCGTTATTCAGCAAAACCGGTTCGACTCAATTGTTGATGGTCGCTCAAAATTCCCAAAACAATATCATCACGTCGACGACTCGATCACAGGAATCCGGAAAAGAGGAGAAATTCCACGCCAACTACGGCATCACAAACGACGAGGAAACGTAATGCTACCTGTTCATTTAAGAGTTTTCCTGAAAGAGCAACTTTCGACAGTTACTCTCAAGTCTTTGTCCATTTGAGAGCAAACTCGCGAATTTTTACTCTCTGAGAGTGTCAAAAATGCTAGTTACGAGTTTTATAAAAATTAGAACTCTCAGAACCGTGTCCACTAGGTTTGTGCTGAGAGTTTGTGAGAAACTGAAGTTTGGAACATTTTTAAGCATATTTTTAACAGATTAAGTTACTTTTATCAAAAATCTATTTACTAATCATAATGAATGCCAAATTTAACAGTTTCTACCAGTAGGTATATTTTAAAGATTTTTTGGTGAAATAACTGCATCTGAAAAAGGAACTATGAAATTAATTTTATTATTAATGATGATAAAAATGTTCCAAACTTTGGTGAAAATTATATAAATGCCAAAAATTGACTTCTCCAAAAATGTGGGTTTTATAGAAAATTACAAAGTAAGATTATGAAAAATAAGTCGATAAATCTAGTTTAGATTTAAAAATTAGATAAATATATTTAGAAAGAATTAGGGCTTTAAGGAGGTTGGACCCCCCGAAACATATGAGATGGATTGATATTAAAAAAAAATACACAATAATACAGAATTTGTCACCAAACAAAGATATTCTGTACAACTTTTCAAGAAAAAGAGTTATTAAGCCATTCTGGCCCAAAAGAACCCTATTTTTATTTTTAACATTAAAATCTTGTAATTTTTAACAAATATATATATATATATATTCATTGTATAAATATATATAATATATATAAATATATATAAATGAATATATATATATATATATATATATATATATATATATATATATATATATATATGAATATCCCTTCAAGACTATTACTGGAAATAGGGTAATTAAATAAACGATAGATATACACTGTGCTTCATTTGCGATTGCAACTTGGGCATTTCTATGAGTTGAACAAAGAAAGATTATTAAAATAACAGTTGTCAGAGTGAAAAGTTGAAATGACACAAATGTCACTCTTTATTCTTTTTCCTTTATAAGTGTCTAATTGAAGTTGTCTTTGTTGCACCCATATAACCTACGTTGTAATAAAAAATGAAGCAATCTGTATGTGGCTGGTGTCTCACTATTTATTTATGTACCTTTACTCTCGGAGAGCACTCTCAGAATACCTGATTTCATTTGAATTTTTCTAGTTATCGATGTATCGACGTGATGTATCGATGTATCGACTTGACAGCAACTCGCTAAGAGTAATTATTAATTCTCCAGTAGTTACTCTCACAACATTATCCACTGGCGAGAACTACTCGACAGTTTTTCTCTCAAATTGGACACCTAGCATAAGAATTTTCTTTCATTTACTTTCGTTTTACTTCATACGAATTTGGCGCGTATTTTTCCAGCGTGGACGTTTACAGTTTCCTGCACAATTCGAGCCAAGGAATAAACGATTCGAGCGACGCAGGCGTAGCGGAAATAGTGGAAAAAAGCGGCGCAAACAACGCTCAAAATCGTGGAATTTTGAGCGGTGTCCATTCGGCCAAAGTCTGTTGCGTCCTATCGCAAAAATCCGACGAATTCTTCCATTCGGCCGCTTTGAGATTATCTTTACCCGGTTTGTGCAGTTTCCTTGACGAATTGTGCAAAGCCTCCCACGCTCAAGTACGTATTTCTTCATATTATACATATTTCTTCACAATTTAAAGTTAGAATGGCTCTCGGCCATATCTCGCAAACTAATTGTCATAAATACTTGTGGTAAAAATCTTATGAGTAAATCGTCCAAAAGAAAATGCTGGAAATAATGTTTCTAAAATGGCCGTTAGGGGAGTATCCGCCATCTTGATTTTTAAAAGTAATTTATTTTGAAAATTTCCTAAATAAAGGTAGCAAAAATGTGTTTTATTTTGATACTTGAGATAATTTCGATTATTTTTTATTATATATTTTTGACTCTATCTTTTAAAATAAAGTGGTGGGGGAGGTTTGAATATTTAGACAAATAAATGTTAATAACTTTTAAACGGCTGAACGGATTTTCATAAAACTGAAATCGTTGAAAAGAACTCTCCTAGATCTATAAATTACACTATATAAGATATTATTTTAAATGCTTGCTTGGTCGTAAGAGGGCGTTTTCCGACATAACCTCAGAAAACACCGATTTTCTCTAAAAAATTAAATTCCACGATATAACTTTTTCTTTGGAGAAAAATATTTCAATGATTGCCAAACAAGCCTATGAAAACGGCATCTTGATATCTCTTTCCTAACCTAAAATATATACAGCTCTTCTCCAAACACGAAGAATCCCCCAGACGAACGAAAAAATGGTGGAAGAAAGACCTTAGAGTGCAAGAGAAACCGCCGGGAACTCTTCTTCTTCATCGCGTAGGCGAGGTCACCCTTAAATGCGTAAAATCCGGCAGACCTTTGGTGCACGTGATGAAAATATGGTCGATTGTGGGGCCTCATTTGATGCAAGCGGCTTGTCATAAGGATCGAACGGTATCGAAGAAGGCCGTGAATTGTTTACACGATGCCGTTACGGCGCTTTTCAACGAGCAAGCGGAGTTGCCGCATTTCCATTTCAACGAGGCGCTCGTCAAACCGTTCGAAAATTTGCTGTGTTCGGAACTGTGCGATTCCGACGTACAGGTGAGTACTTTTTTTTTTTCGAGGAATTATTCGAATTGGAAATTTCGAGTGGGGAAATGGTAAAAAAAAATGGTGGAATTTCCGTTTTTTGTGTCGAATAGTTTTTAAGATAATTGGTGTTTTTTTGTGTGATAGCAATAGTTTAAAAAAAAACTCGAAATATCTCAAAAATTTGTTTTTTTTAAATTTTCAAATCACAAAATTGTAGAGAAATGTTTTTTTTCTACAAAATGAAAAAAATTCGGTTATTTATCTTAAATATTTTTCGAGATAATTGGTGTTTCTTTGTGGAATAGCAATAGTTGCTTTTTTTCAAAAAAAAAAACTCGAAATATCTCAAAAATTTGGATTATTTTCGAAATTATTTAAATCGAAAAATTCCAGAGAAATGTTTTTTCTACAAAATTGTGAAATTTTCAATTTTCTACTCTGACCAATTTTCGAGATAATTGTGATTTTCTATGGTTCCCAAGTTATAGAAAATTTACAGAAAGTTTAATAAGTAGAAGTGATGACTATTTCGTAATTTCTTTGTATACAGTATGTCCCAGATATTCACTTCTCTATACAAAGATCTCAGCTCCTATTTATACCCACAGGAAACGATAACAAAAGACGATTGATTCATCTCATACACGCCATCTTGTTTTCTACTGTAGATGTAATATAATAGGTGCAGAGGTCCCTGTATAGAGAAGCGAATATATCCGGGACGCTGTATAATTTCAATACATTTTTAATTTTTTCCTCTAGGATCAAATCGTCGCTTGTCTGTGCGAATTCGTCGAAGCCAATCGAACGGAAATTCGCTCCGGTTGGAGACCATTATTCGGAACATTACGCGTGGCAAATGCCAAAAATAACGCATCGGCCATTTTGGACGTATTCAAAATATTCCTATCGACCGATAATACATTAGTATTCGCCAACGCCGCCTTGGATTACATCCTCTGTCTATTATCGCACATAAAAAATTCGAATTTCATCGACGAATCTAACGTAATTAACGCGAACAACGCGATCAATAACGAAAAGAAATCGACGATGTTTTTAGATAAAGAAGCCGAATTTCCATCGAATAAACTCCAACTAGGCCCGGTCGATTTGTGCATTGAATCGCTCAAACTCCTTCGGAATTGCGCTTCGATTTTATCCGCCATCTACGACATGCCCAAATGTCCCACGTTCAATTTAACCCACAGGATCAACATCGATACGAATCCCCAATTGGTCGATCAGTTCGTACAAAACACCGATTTCGATCGAACCGATACGAATCGAACGAACTACGATCGTCTATCGACTCGCGTCGATTTCGAAAATTGCGAAAAACAACGACTCACCCTCGCCCACATGGACAAACGAACTAACATTTTGAAAATCCACTACGTTCTATTAGAAGGTTTAGCCGGCGCATCGACGTCGGCCGCGCCCAAAAACCAACCGTACGTAATCGAGACTCTCTTTAAATTAATCAGAGACGCTCTATCGAACGCGACCGGTTCGAATTTCGGTTTGTATTGTATCAATCACGTACTGTTGCCGATGGTCCAGAACTGGCTGAGGAATAATCCGGACGTGCACAAACCGGGCGAGCAATGGCAGAATTTCAAGCATTGTTGCGGCCTCGCCAGCGAATTGATCGTCGACTATCTGTACGAATTGTACAAAACCGATTCGATCGAACATCCCGGTGCTAATTTGGCGCTCAAACAATTACTGATAGTTCTAATCGAATGCGTGGCTCAACCGTCGGAGAATACAGCCAGATTGGGTTCGTCTTGTATCAGGCACGTGATGCTCTCGGCGGGGAAAATCCTGACCGTTTACCAATGGGAAATTTTAGTTACGGCTTTGCACCGAGCTTGTACGGTGAGTTTGAATCCGTTACATCGGCTCAGTTCGGCCTTCGACGAATTCTCCGATAGTTTCTACGGCGATTCGGCCACCGTAAAAGTTGCAGCGAGAAAAGATACGACTCTATCGGAGAACGAGCGTTTGCACGAACTCACTCGGCAGGTGTTCCTCATGCAGAACCAACGCGACTGCGATCAATGCAGAGGGAAATCGTCGCCGGTTTCGTGCGATTGCGAAAATTCCAAAAGCCCTCTGATCGATAATAGAAGTTACGTGTTTTTGTTGTACCCGTACGATTATTCGAGTACGACGATCGCGAATTCGGATTCGTACTCGATTCGAGTACCGTTCAAGAATCTCGTGGTCGGTATTCTGGCGCACCAGATGCTCGTGCAGACCGTCTCGAGCGCTCTGTTGCAGAATTTGAACAGGATAACGCCGATATTAAACATCCTGCAGATAAATTCGTGCAGTTTGAGAGGCGTACTGACGCGAGTTAACGCCGAACATTTGGATGTCCTGTTGAAATGTTTGGAGGTGTCGAATTCGCGAGCGATCGATTTTGATCAACGACCCGGTTTGAAGTTTCTGTTGCAAAAGGTCGGCAATCTGAGCAAAGCCGCTAATTTGTACACGCAAGCTAATACATCGGAAGTAGTGCAAATTATCGTGTTGTTCGAACTATGCTTGGACGGTATCGATAAGTATCGGATAAATCCGAGGAAGATGAAGGAGATCCTGGCGCGCGAACCGAAATCCACCTGCTCGAACGATTTGGATTACGTGGAAAACTTCCTGAAGAAATTGCACGCGAAATGGAACAAATTGTGCGACTCCTACACCAACGTCAATGTTAAAATACCCGAGGAAATTAACGACGAAAGCGACGATGATAATTACGCCGATAAAAACGCCAACGTCGTGGAAATAAACGAAGAAAGCGACGACGATAATAATTATAATAAACCGTTCAAATTATCAGATTTCAAACGGCTGGAATATAACGAAGATAACGAAGACAACATCAGCCTCAGCACCGACACCGACAGTTATTTGGAAAAGGACATTTTGCCGAATCTCAAAATGGACGATAAAATTAATAATAAAATAGAATCGCCCGCGATGAAGAATCGTCTCGCGACAGAGAAAAAACGTACGGGAAACGACAATTCGACCGATGACGAAACGAACGAAAAAGCCGCTGCCAAATTGGTCAAATTCGATTTAAACAACATCAAATACGACAACAACACGTTGTCGCAAATGAGGAAATCGACGATGTCGAATGACATCGCCGCCGCCGCCGCCGTCTCTGATTGCGATCAGCCCAACGAACCGTCGGGTTTGAGGGTTACGGGAAGATCAGCGGTGAAGAAAATGGCTTTTGACGTACCCGCCCCCCAACCGGTTCCCTCCGAGATACAACAACAGAGGATCATAAGCATGATGAAGGTTTGTATGGACTTATTCTATTATTATTATTATTATCGCCTTACCGTCTTCGTATGGAAATGCTGTACGTTTCCTAAATGTTCATATAAATATGTTCATTTTTGTATGAGATGATTTTTTTGTATCTCATTTCACTGTCTTTCTCCTTTTCTCATCTCATAATGCTCAAGTTAATAAAGTGAGCAGAATAGAAATTAAACAGTTCATTTCTTCATTTTTGTATGAAAAGATGATTTTTTTTGAGTCAATTTGAATTTTCTTTCTTCTTTTCTCATTTCACCATATAGGACGCGGAGGCCTACAAAATCACTCGAATTGAAACAACAGAGGCCTGTTTGGAATTGCTGACCAGCCTTTCTGCTGAGAAATTGTCCCCTTTGGCGGCTATCTTGAAAGAGGGGGCGGTTTCGTTGGCGGGGGCCAGGGAGGAGAAGATCAAGAAATCTGCCGAAATTTTGTTGCAGAGAATGAACATTTCCTATGTCGATCACGATAATTATTGAATTTTATTATCGCAAAATTATTCGTAATTGTATAAAAGTTGTAGGGAATTTTTAATTTTATTCGATATTTGTATACGCTTGGAATTGTTGAAATTATTTCCTTCTACTGACCAGAGAGAAGAAAGAAGAATATGATGGAAATTTTTCCGAGTGGCTGTCGGGAACAAATGGTCGAATATTTCTTCTCTTTTAATTAGTATAAAAAGTATCTAGTTAATTCTTAAGATATGTAAATAGTTAAAATTGTCTGCATTTATAATTTATTTATTATTCACCGCTTTGCTTCTATTACTTCGAATAAATATTTTCATACCTTATATAGTATATTATACAAACCTTATATAATACTGTATTTCTTCATTTCAAAACGTGTATATTTTACGAACCAAAAAATAAATAAATACATAAATAAATTATCTACTTATTGAGAATTAAATTGAGCGTTTAACGGCCGAATGCACCGACTTATTAGGAACCATTAAGCTAATAGAGCTTTAATAGTACATTAACGTTCTTGACTCGTTGCACCACATTTTAATATACCTTTAAGCGTTCTTTAAAGCGACTTTACATAAGTAACCAATTTTCTCCAATTAAAGCTTTATTAGCAAATAGCTCATAAGCCAAAGTCAAAATATTTGTATTGAAACGTTTTCAGTAGTGGATGTGATAACGTCCAGATTTACATGTTGGGGTAACGTCTGAATCTAACATATTTAAATGCCCTTCTACAGTTAAAGGATCCAATGTATGTATCTAGATAAAATTAGGTCATCAAGATAATTTTGTTGCGATGTAGATTGGCCACCTCCCGTTTTTAAACATTCTTGCCGAATTTCAGCCTTTTTCTTTCTCAACGCCTGTCTTCTATTTTCATAAAATCTTTTTAATTGCTCAGTTCTATTTAAATATACGTGTTACAAGAGGTGGAGGTCATCTTTGAAGAAATGCTACGAAAATCGAAAAAAAGAGCTTTGAAAATCTTTGGCTAATGAAAAGAGGGAAGTAACTCTCACTGGCGGAGGTCCACCATCAAAAATTAAAAGAGATGAGACAGATGATCTTCTAATGTCGATTTTAAATAAACATACATTGGTGGGTTTTGAAAACAAATTTGATGATGATGCAGATGAAAGCTCTATTGTATGTGCAGACCCTGTTGAAGATAATGAATTGGAATTTCGTATTGTAAATGAGAATACAGCAGAACACACACAAACCTGCCCAGGAAGGGAGACATTTCTGGTAAGTTGAATTGACTTTTTTGTTTTGCTTTTTTGATAACAAAAAAAACTTTCTAGCCAATTGTCGAAAGCAATCAATCCATGGCTGCAAAGGAAGATGATGCTAATTGGAGAAAGCACAATGCAGCTAAACTACAACTTCCCACCAGCTCAGCTTTACTGAAAAATATCACAACTTTGAAAAAAGACGAAACCAAAGAAAATGTAACAATATTTCAATACATGTTGCTAAGAGCTATTCTATAATATATACTTAATATGAAATTATCAAGTTGCAATCCAAGCACTAAGAAGTTCGTAATTACTTGTACATGATAGATTTTTACAGGTGCCTGGCAGTTCAAGATCTATACCAGTGAGCCGTAGAAGACCAAAAACTGTAGTCAAAAGCTTAACATCTTCGGAGATAGGCAAAAAATATGACCTGCTCTTAGATAAGAGATTGATGATACTTGAGAAGCAGTTGAATCATATGGACCAAGAAAATGCTCTTTTAATAAGAAAAAGAGAATTAGAAATAGAGGTATTAGAAACAGAGTTACTATTAAAGAAGAAAAAATTAGTATAGAGAATTATTATTATTATTATACAGTGCATTTCTTTAATGTCCCCCCCTTTTATTTTTTGAACGGATCAACTTAGAAAATTGAAATTTGGGATAATGAAACTAATGTATGATTACTATATTTTGGAGTAAAATTGACAGATGAAAATTTCAAGATGGCGACTGGGCGCCATCTTGGGAAATAAATTTAAATGAAAAGGGGGGTCTTGTGATACATTATTTTGAAGCTCCTGACAAATACTCTACAACCCTGGAATATAAAGTCAATATCTGCACCTGCTACAAAATGGCGGAACATTTATTAATTACCTGAACATATCGACGTTTAACGTCATAATTTGAGGAAATAAGCTGAGTTCAGTTCAAAAAAAGCTCGAAATGGTTGCCTTGAACTTCTTAATGTAAGAACAGCCTAACCGAACATTTTCGAACATAGTAACGTCGATATTTTTACAAATATCTGTAATTATTTCTCGTATATCCAATATTGAAGCAGGTTTAGTTTCGTACACATTTTGCTTCAAATAGCCCCATAAAAAAAAGTCTAAAGGTGTCAAATCTGGCGAGCATCAGGCTTGTCATTCCGTAGGACCTCGACGACCAGGGAAAATAGCATCCAAAGAGTTCATTACTTGTCTGTAGTAGTGGGGTGGTGCTCCATCTTCCAATGGACGAGAATTGGTTATTTTAGAGTTAGTGCACCTGCTACCTAACTGCAATGAGAACTAAACAACCGAAAACTAAATGAAAATACTTTGAACACTAGGAAAATCGAAAACTAAAGAGAATATTTTGAACACTAGGAAAACCAAAAACTAAATGAGCATATTTTGACTAAACAATTAATGTTCGTTGTCGTACTTAAATTTTTTGGAATTTTTTTAACCAAAAATAACCTGTCAAACCTTATCGGTTTGCTGGGATTGCTGTTTGCCATAGAAAAACAAATATTTCTAGAAAAATTGATATTATTTTGTTTGTATTCAGGTAATTATTAAAGGTTCCGCCATTTTGAAATGGGTGCAGATATTGACTTTATATTCCAGGGTTGTAGAGTATTTGTCAGGAGCTTCAAAATGATGTATCGCAAGACCCCCCTTTCCATTTAAATTTATTTCCCAAGATGGCGCCCAGTCGCCATCTTGAAATTTTCATCTGTCAATTTTACTCCAAAATATAGTAATCATACATTAGTTTCATTATCCCAAATTTCAATTTTCTAAGTTGATCCGTTCAAAAAATAAAAGGGGGGGGGACATTAAAGAAATGCACTGTATGTAAGTTTAGTAAGTTGTAATATATCACTCAAGTACAAATAAATAAGTGTATTCTCATTTGATTGTCAAATGTATTCCCTCCATATTCGATTTGGAAACTCAGTTTCTTTTGAAATTTCAATATAAAATATCACTACTTATGTACTTAAAAAACATTTATTTACAGATTTGTAAAGTAATTGTCTATAATTTCAGTTCTAAAATCATACAATATATCTTGCTGTGGATTAATTGGATGTATGTCTGCTTGTTGAAGTAAATATTCGAATTCCTCCATATCAATTCCTTCTGGAGGTGGGGGATCAGCATCATGCATTACTCTAGCAATGTTATGAAGTATTGCTGTAGCTACTACTACCACCAAACCAGTTTTAAATTTGCATCTTAAACCATAGGATAAACAGGGAAATCTTCGTTTCCACACACCTATGGTTCGTTCTACTGTATTTCTAGTGCGAATGTGCGATTCATTGTAGAGTTGTTGAGCCCTTGTGTTAGGATTTGCTAGTGGTGTAAGTAAGTAGGATTTCAATGGATACCCACTATCGCCTACATATTAATATACAGAGTTGGGCAAAAGTCCGGAATAAAATTATTATCTGTTGAACCAGTAATTTAAACAAAAAACGCTGAAACACGTAAATTGATTTTATATTGTACGGATTTGTTGCCAATAAAATGATTTTTTTTTCTTCAACCCCTTAGTTGCAACCCTACCCAACTTTATTTTTTCAAATGTAAAGGTATGTCGTGTGTAGGGTCATTGAAAAGCCCGTGAAAAATGGAATCTAAAACATACCTTTTTTTTTTATTTTTCTCATGTTGTTATTTGGAAATGAGCAAAAATTTCTTTTAAAAACAAAAAAGTTACAAATACCTTTTTAGTGCTATCGACGTAGCAATGTTGAAAATGCCCTTCACCATCTATTTGACAGGCTCCCAGGCATTGGTAAAACGTAATATCGATAGCATATCTTTAATTCTGAATGACTTTTTAATAAAAACAGGCGAACCTTTGGTAAAAAAAAACTTGTACAAAAATGCAACACCTGTTTTCCTTTTTGAAGTTCACTGATCAACAATGGCTTAGATTTGAACCCATTTTATGTTTTTGTTTTTTCTTAAAACATAAATTTCAACGAATGTTGATGCTAAATTGCCTTATCAGTTTTAAACGGTAAATCAATAAAATTTGGTGTGCTGCCTGACCAGGCTCGCCTGCTTTTAATAAAAGTTTATTCAGAATTAAAGATAGGCTACCGATATTAGGTTTTACCATTGCCTTGGAGCCTGTTAAGTAGAGTAAGCCTTAATTCACACGTCGATACCACTAAAAAAGTATTTGTAACATATTTGTTTTTAAAAGAATTTTTTGTCCATTTTCAAATAACAACATGAGAAAAATAAAAAAAAAGGTATGTTTTAGATTCCATTTTTCACGGGCTTTTCAATGACCCTACACACGACATACCTTTGCATTTGAAAAAATAAAGTTGGGTAGGGTTGCAACTAAGGGGTTGAAGAAAAAAAAATCATTTTATTGGCAACAAATCCGTCCAATATAAAATCAATTTACGTGTTTCAGCGTTTTTTGTTTAAATTACTGGTTTAACAGATAATAATTTTATTCCGGACTTTTGCCCAACCCTGTAGAATAGTATAGTTGATGGAAGTATTCACAAGGTAGGGGAACATGCAGGTTATACCACAAATACTACTAGTATGGGTGAAAATAATACTAAAAATTCCTATATATTTTTTTCCTATTAAATGAAATTATAAAATATTTATTATTAGATTTACCCTAGCATTTTTCCCGATACATACCTAGAAGAATGCCTGTGCCAAATTCCCCAGCCTCAAATCTAGTCCTGAGCCTGCTATGGCTAAAAATGGTAGAGTCATGGGCTGATCCTGGCCATCTGGATACTATATTAATTATTTGAAGATCACTATTACATACCACTTGCACATTTATGGAGAAATATGATTTTCTATTCCTAAATATCTCTCCATCTTCTCCACCTATAAGATTAATTCAATTTTCTTCAATTTCTTATTAATAAACCAAACAAGAAATATGAGAACAATTTAACATAATTTTAATAAGATATATATAACGCAGCCAATTACACGCGGAAAGCCAGCTACTCGATTAAAATTAGTCTGTGAAGATATTTTTTCAATATGTGTTGCCGGCATTTTAATAAATATATTTTTTTTACTAGCAATGGCTTCTGAAACTTTTTTGATGACCCTAGATACAGTACTTTGATCCATTTTCAT